TCTGAACTTCTGTGGTTCCTGTTATTAGAGCAATTGTTTTGAAACTAAACTGACAAATATGAAACCACAGAGGAATTTACTAAACTTTCTTGAAGAACGTAACTATCAGAGATAAACATGACTACACACGATTTACTAAATACAATGGGGAAAATGGTGAGGGTTGTAACACGAGGTAATTAAGTACCAGTTAATAATAATAAATAATAACAATTTTATTTAAAAAAATAAATTTAAAAAATCACTTGCAATTTGTAATTCAGACCATTTATAATCTGATATGTTACCATGTTAATAGTTGTTAAAAATTATGTAATCTCATTCAAATCAGCAGTTTCTTGTATATTTTATATAAATCCATTTGAATCTACATACAATATTAAACTACTTTAATTTGTAAATTAACATATATCAACATATCATACCATATCAAAGTTTTGGGCACACACACACACACACACACACAAACACCTGAGTGCTGCAACACACCATCACATTAGGCCCATTGGACACAGAAAAGACGTTTACCTGAATGTTGACGCTAGGCTAGTCTTTCCCATACAATTATAGAGAATCAGTAGTTAGACTAACTATTTATGCCTTTCCTATTAGGGACGTTTTAAACAAATCAGTATTTATTTTATTAATTTATTTTATTTATTATTATTATTATTTATTTATTTATTTATTTATTTTTTGTGTGAGAGTGATTATGTTTGTGATATTCAAATCTATAATAAAATGATATTGACAGTTGTGTTGTTTTCCAGTGCACATTTGTTCGCAAAGGAAAGCGCTAGAGCAGCGTGCTGTTGCTATGGTTACCTCCTCAGGCTACTTCGGTTCCTGAGCGACTACGTAGTGCACTAATTGTAGCAAACTTTTATGCTTATTAAAGTATAATTATATATATATATATATATACTCTGACACTGGATGTTACATTATTCTGACTCTCTAGATCTGTTGCCTTGCGCACAGAGTCCGATTTAGATGGACAAGTGGCCCAAGCGCGTCGCGTGCGGCAGGTGCTGCGGAGGCAAACTCACCGGCACACGAGCTCTGAAAGGAGAACAGCGGTCACCTGTCGAAGCGGAACGCGAGAGTGACACGTAGATTCTTATTTTGACCGCACTTCAACTGGAATGGCAGGTGGAACGGCGGGGTGTGATTTTAGGTGGAGGGGAAAAAAATAGCACGGCGCTTAACCCAGTAAATCTCAACGGTTACATTTGTGACGCCAATTTTCTTCTGAGTTTGAAGGGTCTGAAAGAGCTGCTGATGTATTTTACACAGAGTTCAGACTGTCTAGATTGTATATGGGTATTTTACACGTCTGGTGTAAACAGTCACAATACCAGAGCTGTTTAATTCCATAAAATGAAACATGTAAAACATGCCATAATACACATACAGCTAATATATTTATTAGGCCTACGTTTAATATTCTGAGAGTCCATTATTAAAAACAAACAAATTAAAATTATATATGTACTGATAATCGTTGATTATAATGTCTTTCCCTCTACAATATTCCCTATAAAATATTAAATCGTGACTTCTAGTCTAATTTGTTGAAACTTCCTTGACCACCGAAGCAATTTTAATGTGTCCCGCCGGTCACAGGAATAAAACACATACTTTGTAAAACTTTTTTGTATGTTTTTTTAAAAAAAAAAGAAAAAAAAATGTTATATTGGACTAGCCTATTTAATGAGTGAAATGATTTCGCTAGGAACAATTTGGGGTTTAAAAACAATCAACTCACTGAAAAAAACACTGACGGGACAATCCTGTTCAGTCTAAACCATCTCATTCTCAAGTAGACGAAAAGTTCAAGTACATATTACTACAGTTTATGAGAGTAACGTGTTTATAACTGTGACTCATGCTGCTGTCACACAAGGCTTTACTCTTTATTTTCATAGAAGAAAGTATCGTATTATAATGAACGCAGTGTGTCTCCCGACAAAATTACACAGAAAGAAGAGAGAAACAGGTGTATATGACGAGTATAACGAAACAGAGAGATTGACAGATCCAGAGGAGAGAGAGAGAGAGAGAGAGAGAGAGAGAGAGAGAGAGATAAATGGAGTCCTTATGGCCAATGACCTGATTTACTTTTGGAGTGGGGGATGCGGCAGATCTCCTGTGGGATGGAGGTGTCCTGATGTGAAGAGCAGGTTTGACATTGCGAACAGTTTGGAGGTGAAAACGCATGAAAGTGGGCTTTTTTTTTTTTAATGATCAAACATTGTTATGGTTGATGTTAGACATAAACATGCCAGTTAATAATAATAATAATAATAATAATAATAATAATAACAATATGTCTCATTATAAAAGGGTTTGATGTGTTGGACGTGGCAAGCTCCTTTCAATCACATTTTAATTTAGGCAAATGTTCCGAAACTCGGATCAGACCGGATAATATCGCAGCCACCACACAAATGTGACGACCTGACGACTGCTGATCCTTAAAATAAATATTGGACAGACACAGATACACACACGCGAACACACAATGCCTACAGCCCCTTTATTCATTATTCAATATCCTGTGAAGCAAGTATGTCATAAATAAAATTAGTAAAGATAAACAAATATTTGTTAAAACTTTTTGTTTCATATTCTAAACAGACTTGAGATCAATCACACTAAGTGCACACAACATCTGGATAATAACATGGGTGAATTCTTAAAATGTATATTCCATTGGGTCTGCTAAAGTCAACACAAAACCCTTCAATAAACTATGGCATTATTAATCAGTTTAATAAATAATAGATATACCATTTGCTATTATATTTAATAATAGTAATAATAATAATAATAATAATAATAATAATAATAATAATTATTATTATTATTATTATTATTATTATTATATTGATTAATTGTTATTATTGTTATTAAAATTATAACTCACATGCAAATAACAATGGAAATTTCCACAAAAAATTTATTATTATATTGATTAATTGTTATTATTTTTTAACAAATTATAACTCACATGCAAATAACAATGGAAATTTCCACAAAAAATAAAAAAATAAATAAATACATACTGCAGCATCCCTCGGTGCCTTTTTCATTTTCATTTAGTTGCATTTCCATAAAAAGACAAGCTGACCGTCGAGAAGGCAATTTACCCTGGATCCGGTTTCCCAGACCTGGGTTCAGGTGTGAAGGCGTGGGGGCGGGAGGTGGTAATATGCTACAACTTGCCCGGGTAACGATAATGCATAATTATATATTTTAAATGACTGGTAACCCCTATCCAAAAACGCCTAAAATGTGTTCTTATGACAACATAACATTTTTTCGGGAAATGTGTAAAAAAAGGTTTTAAGGGGAAATGTTTCTATATTCCTTGAAAGTGGAAAAGATAGAGGCCCGGCCCTCTCGGAAAAATACGCAGTCCTAATGCATATGCATGTATGATAATTGATGTGCGTTTTACATCTCCTGTCGACCGTGTCATCAGATCTCAAGATACATGATACGAGATATATTGTGAAAATGACAGAAAACACAATATAAAATATCAAGACTAGAAAATAAAAAGAAAACATGGCAAAAAATAAGTTTGTTTGCGACCTCCGTATCACGTTTTTACGCACTTTACGCCCTACTGCACCCTTCCTCCCCCATACAAGAACACACACAAATATACACAAGCACATTGATACACACCACAGTTCTCTTTCACAAGCCCACACACACACTGGAAGAGAGACAGAGAATAATTCTGACCTTACATCCCCGAACAAATGACATTGTAAATTAAAATGCATAAAATAAAAATGCCTTCTCAATTCTAAAGCATCAAAACTCGAGCACTGTAAAACCAGGCAAAGCATTTACATTTGAACTGTTTGTGGGTAAATAATAATCCATACTTGACAAAGCAATATCAGATAAAGAACATTCCAAAACAGGCGCACACCTTTGAAAAGTGGTTTCATCCAAAAATATTTTGTAAGTGAATTTTAGGGGGGAAAAAATATGAGCAAAAACTGAAAGCACAGCTCCCAGGCAGGAGGGTGAGGGAAGGAGTGGTATATATGCTGTGAGGTGTCAAAAACAAATTTGTTGAGGATACATCATGACAGAAATTGATGCGTAAAACTAACAGAATGAGGAAATAAATAACCTTAATTATGATTACAATAAACCACATCTTTGTTTGGCATTAATACAAATTCAGACGTGCCTTATCAAAACCACCATCAGCACAGTCAAACCAGGAATCTTTGGCATAGAAAATGGAGGACCACTAATTGCACCAGTGCTAATTGGAAATGAGGCTGCATATGCCATTATATTTTTCACAGGGTCTATGCAGATATATTCATCCTCTACCACAAAAACATGCACTTTTATTACAAAATACATATTATTCTTTCTCCTAAAGGCATACAGCAGCATGTTACTATAAACATATAACAGACATATTAAAATCCTAGGAAATTTACATTCTTATTCGAGCCCAGTAAAAAGTACACCAAGCGCAAACAAATTCCCACCTCACTGACCAACTCTACTTTCCCCACCAAACAAACTACAGAAGGCCAAAAGTGTATGGTAAATGCACGCGACCGATGCCAAATCTGATCCCGTTCTACACATTCATAACTCAACAGCATATTCATATCTTGCATACAAATCATGCTATCTCCCCCATCTTTGCGCACGGGCACATGCAGATCCTACATCCTCCTAATCTCCTGTTCGTCATTAATCACTGACTAGAAAAAATAATTTTCCACATTTTAAGCAACTAAAACATTTTTTTTTTTTTGAAGGAAGTTGCATTAGTTTTGGAGCGAAATAAACTTCCTGAAATCCAGATATGCGAGCGCGCAATAAAATAAACTTGGAACAGTGCGATTTTACGCACGGAAATTTCCACTTAATTTAATGTAATAAATAGTGTAGTTTTATTTCATCATTATTTTAAATATAAAAAAACAGCATAAAATAAACGGACTACATACCTTCTTGAAAAGAATACAGCAGGAGTAAAGTTACCAGCCACATGCCATAAATAGCAGGTATATTTCTCAGGAATGTTTTGCAATCCCGACGTGTGCACTGTGCAGTATTCGGCCAGGCGAGGCTCCGTGCAGGAGTGGTGACGATGATCCCCGGCGATCTCTCCAGCCCTAGTCCCGGACTCGCCAGCGCCGAGAAGCGGGGAAGACTTTGGTCCCGCCTCTCGTACCCTCCCCTCCGCGGGACCGTCATCCAAGCTGCCCCTCCTTCGGTAGTCCAACGGTACGGCGAGATGGAGAGGTGTTTGGTGCGGGGCCAGAGAGAGACGCGGCGAAGACGGCGTGCTGAGTTTTGTTGGTGGGGGTGGGTTGAGTGCATCAGGGAGGACAGGACTTAACATGTTGTTGTTGTTGTTGTGAGCGGTCCACGTGGCTGGAGACAGTCGGGGCGTTCTGTGGCACTAAGTGTTACCATAGCGCACCTGGGAACTAAATAGCTGCTTTTTACGCACGGCGGATCACTTTTCGCGATGACCACGGCTTACCTTTTACCTCCAGAAATCTTGTATTGATGCAACGCTGCTGAGCAAAACAGTTTAAACCTGGTCTGTTCTCCCAGACAGTTATATTTGCTGGTTTTAGGCACTTTTCAACAGACCAGGACGGGAACTTGAAGACTGGGAGACCACCTTAAGTCTTTTAAGACCCGGGAACCATATTTAAGTTTTGTTGTTGTTGTTGTTGTTTTTTGCCGCAAGGTTGAGCGTCATTTTAAAATTAAAGTTCGTGTGAACGTTGCGCGTAAAACGCTCCGCTTACGTTTCTTTTATGTCACTGCTCATTGAGTGACTCGCGTGCGTCTTTAGAGAAACTGCACGAGACCCTGTCACGCGCTCTTTTTACGTTCACGTATGTGAATGAAAGAGAACGCGTGCTTCAGAGGCGCACCGAGGAATGTCTGAATCGCCTGCATTGTTCCGCGCTCAAAATGAGAGAGGAATGACATGTGGGGCGTATCGTGCATTGTCTCGAGTGGCGGATAACGCTCACAGACCACCCCGGCTTTATCGGTCTGGTGACTATAGTGCCTTACACCAGCCAAGTCTGCAAAAAGAAATATTGAAATGAATAGATTGTATTAAACAGTGTAACAAATTGTAATTAGGCAGCATTATTAAACCCTTACAATTCAAATACAGCAAATCTGTATAGCATTTGAGAGTTTTTGCATGGAAATTGGCAACCCCTTCATCTTAAAAGGAAGAAACCAGTGTGATGGATTTCTGTGGATTATTTTGACAATGATATGTAGCAATGCCAGAGTACATGTCTGGGTGTAAAATTACAATATGGCACACAGCACACTACCCCCCAGGGCAACTTAAGAAATGACAACAATGTGTAGAGTGATAGTCTGCTACCAATGGTTGCATTGTTTGGTTTGATGGTTCTGCTCCAGCACTCTGGCTTCACACTCCCACATCCTTTACAGGCTATGTGCAGCCCTGTCAGAGAATCAACCAATACAGAAATCCATCACACTGACATGTGATTCTACACAAAATGACAGTGATGTATCTTTACCCAGCCTCAAACCAGTAAGCAACAGGCCATTTCAATGGAATAATCTTTAGTGAAGTTATGTTGTCATAGCATAACCTTTTATCCTGGGATTAAGTGGACAAGGCCAGGGTCCATCAAATGTAAATTATGACCACTCTGCCAAAACACTAGATAACTTAGTTTGTGCCCATATAATTCCACAGAAATTTCTTTACATTTCTACAAAATTAGAACATTTACAAAGTTGCATATTTTGGTTAATTCCATTTCGATTTCAGCTACAAATATGAGTTATTTTCAATTTAGTTTAACACATTTGACAATGTTAAATCCAGTTCTGCAAAGTTTTTTTGCTTTTATGGCCCTACTTGGAAAAGTTTACATTTTGAGGAGTTCAAAATTCACTGCATGAGCAGAGTTTAATTTGGCTGAACAGAGTTGAACAGTACATTTCAGTGCGGACAGAGAACGGTAAACAGCCCCTAACATAATAACTGTCAGAGGGGAGGACAAAAAATAGAGTTGTACCTTTTAGGAGTAGAATGCTTGTCAATGAGCCAGTAGCTTCAAAGGGTTCACATTAGAAAATTAAAGTGATGAGCACCTTAAAGTATTAATATGTACTTTTTTTTAGGGTAGATCAGGTACTTTCAGGATACTGCCCCATTAACAAACTAAAGGTTACATTTTTGCAAATTTTTCCTGAGAGTGATGTGGCAGGGACAACATTCCTGCTTGTCCTCAACAGATAACTGCCCTAGTTTTGGGGTGGGTTAATCTTGAGAGCAACCAATCCAGTTTGAAATGAATGACTAATAGGGTGAAGCAGAGTAGCACAATGATATGAAATGCATATGACTCTTTTTTGTCGAAGGGGGCAACTCCTGACAAAATACCTTAGAGGGTCACTTAGCCAGTGTTGTAGTCAAGACCAGTTTATTCAAGTCCAAGTCAGATCGAGACCCGAAGAGGGTTGAGTCCAAGTCAGGAAGGACAGAGTCAAGCTGCTCCTGAGTTCAGTAGTCTTGGACTGGGACTAGAATGCTCTGTTCCCGAGTACAACTCTGCACTTGGCCGTTACACAGAGGTTTACCTTGATCACACACATTGCAATTATCCCACTACTAAGTTCCTGGATATCTCTCAAATTCAGCAATGTATACTAAAGTTTGCTGGTTGAGATACACCTCTTATCCTGCAGTGATTTGTATAGAAAAGAATAAGCAGAGAAGAGAACAGTTGAGCAGATCAGCCGGACTCTTTGTTTCCTAGAGGCCTCTCTCTACCTCTCCTCTCAACTCAGTTATGTAACAAGTGGAAATATAGAAGATGGAATGCTACCCTTACCATCCCACACACTTATGGAGATAGACACACACGCTCAGAAAGAAAGTACAAGCCACGCTGGCTGAAGGAAATCTACTGTGTATGTATCTACACAATGTGCATCAGAGAGGAAGTGACCACTGAGTTGCAGGCAGGCAGCGACTGTTGAAATCATTGCTAATACAAATCATCTGCATCACTCTCTCTCATCTGTTGCCTGGAGAAAAGCAGAGAATGAGAGAGAGTACGCCAATGAGGAGAAGGAAGGAGAGAGAGCAGGGACGGCAGAAGCGGGTGGGCTAATGAACACGGTAATGCTAATACACAGACAATCAGAGTCCCCCCTCAGGCCACGGCTACATGGTAGAATCATATTAACGCTAATGTTATCTGGTATTAATGCAGAGAGCCCCCTCCCTATCCGAATGCCTGCAAGGTCACTGAGGGTAGAGGGTGGTAGCATAGTGGAAAGGAGGGGGCAAGGGTTGGCGCCTTCCCACCTCAGCCACACGCAGGTATAGGGAGGGCACTAAATGCTAGTCTTCTGTAATGGTGGATAACGCGCCCCGTTTCAGTTCCCCCTGCAGAATGGGACGCCTATTAGAGCGCTCTATGCAAACTAGCGCCATGCAGATCCAAAATGGCGGCAGAGGAGGCCCAGATGGTGAGCTGTTTTGGTTTAGCATGGTGGCACAGCAGCGCACGGCTTGCCCAGTTTCGCTGGAGCTGCACTGGCGCTAATTAGCCAGCCTGATACAGAACCGTACGCCATGTTACGCTCGCCAGCATTAGTCAAATGAGTCAGTGAGCTGCACCAAGTCAGTCAGCTGAGGGAGGAACCCGTGCATCTGCGCCTGTGCGCCAGTCTGTTTTTTATAAGACCAAATGTTTTTTTTTTTCATTAATTAATTAATTAATTTATTTATTTATTTTTATTATATTTTAATTTTATTGTATAATTTTTTTTTTTTTTTTTGAGGAGGGTTTTGTTTTGAATTTGGTGTATTAGAGGGTGGGTGTGATTGTGTCTATGTACATGAGGGAGTAAGTAAATGAACGTGTGTGGAAACAGGAGGATATTTCTGGATTTCTCTCTCTCCCTGCAGCCTGTTGAGGGGGGAGAGATTGGGGGAAAGGGGAAGGTGGTGAAGCGAGACGTCAGGGGGGTGTTAATTTATTCAAATGAGCAGGGGAGTATAATGAGAGAGAGGGAAAGAAAGAGAGAAAGAGGAAAAGAGAGAATGGGGGGTTGGTTGTTTCGCTTTGCAAATCTCTCATCTCCTGATCTTCCTCTTTTTTCATGTGTTTATCTTACAAGAGTCTTTCGCCATTACGGATGGCAGTGGAGCAGGAACTGGAGAGAGGAGAAAAGTAGGGAAAAGATGAAACAGGGAATTTGTGGATATGCAGTCTGTGAACGGCATGAAGGGAGATATCTCATATATGTGTGTGTGTATATGGCCTAGCTTATGATCTTTTACATATTTGCTAATCAAATTAATAATCAAGTATTCTTGTCACAAAATGGAATCTTTCTCTTGATCGCTCATGCTGATGAGGTCAAAACGGGATGATTTTTTTTTCCTTCCTTGGACTTGTGTGTGTATGTGAGAGTCAGTGTGTGATAACGATATGCAGTGCATTTGAAAGAATTAGAATATTACTGGCATCTAGTGGGAAGATCGTGCAATGCAGACTATCTATCTATCTATCTATCTATCTATCTATCTATCTGGAATAATCTATCTGGAATAACCACATTAGGCATTCATATTCATTAGGCCTTGTGGGCTTCAATCAGTTACCTTTTGGAGTACGATGTTGTTTCCATGCACAGTACAAGTTTACATCCAGACCTGTGTGTCTAGATTGTATCTCCATTCCCACGCTACAGTCGCCCCCCTCCAAGCAGATTTATTTTCACTACAAGTTAAACCAGTATATGCTTAAGCTCTAAGCAGGGGTGTTAAAATGCTGACCAACTGTAACAAGACCTAGTGCACTCATGTATACCCTACAGACTTGAACACTTCTCCGTGTGTGGGAACCTACAGGTACTGACCCTCTCACCATTAAGTACACCTGTAAGCAAACCACTAGTTATATTTTATTCTGCAAGCTCATTGAGATTATGTCACATCAACACTGCAACACCTTTTAAGGTTAGATATACTTGCTTCAACTTATTTCCATTTGCAAAATTGTAGAAAGTTAACTAATTTGTTCTTTTTAAAATGATATGCTCATTGATTGTTTATTGTATTCTTGATATTCAGCATGCTTGGAGGTATTAAAGAAATAGTCTACCCAAAAACTCTGTCATTATCTACTTGTTCCAAACATGTATGAGTTTCTTTTTTTTCT